ACTTTTATGGCCCTCAGTGTTAAGATTCCTTTTAACTTTGTAAACAATTTCCATGTCCTCTTTTTCCATGTCTTATTTTTTATTCAGTCTGTTGGGACTAATCTATCATTTGATATATATTTTTTAAATTCAGAATTCCCATTTTTTTTCTTTCTGCATTTGTTCTACTTATATTCTTATCTCATTCATGTCCAAAAGGCAGTCATAAGCGGTCTGTCCTTCATTCTTCACTCTGTGAAGTGTTTTTCTTCACTTTGTGTCATTCGTTCTAAATTTATATTTATTCCTTTGGCATGGGAATGTTTGAGCAGAATGATATTTAAATTTTGTATTTGAAGGAAAAAGATTTTTTTAAGCAGTCATTTGAATTTCCAGATGATTCAGTTACCTTTTCTGTACTTTTCATTATCATTAACATAAAAATATATATATTTTCTTTAAATCACATTAATTCAGAATGTCGTACAATTTTCTCCCAAATTCATCTATGGTTTTTCCATTATCAGTGCTCACTGAAGCATGAACTGTTACCAGACTAAGGATAGATGACATTAATTCATTCAAAAATACATTTTAGGTCTTTCATTCATAATTAATCCTACATATTCCATAAAACTTTCTTGGCTAATTCTGTACTTGGCTAATTAAATATTTGTTAGATCTACTGTAAGTATTAAAAAGACTTTTAGAAACCCTTTTACTTCCCTTTTTTCTTGGTTTCTTTGAAACTTTTGTGGATCCCTGCAAATTCTGAAGGTGATGAACTGGTACATCTCAGGTCCTGCTGCACTTTTAATTCCCAATATTTCTTCATTGAAATTGGAGCTTCTGGGAATGTTATTTGAGTAACATCATAAGAGGTCCTATACATATTCTTAATAGCTTCATGACATTATTTTTGCTGGTCATATAGACGTGGGAAGAAAACTCATAATGTAAAATTAAATCTAATAGTTAAAATTCACTGCTCATTTATTGAAGGGTGAACTTTATGAAACACACAACTTAACTTCATAGCTTATTGAACATGCTTCAGATGTCACTGTTTGATTAAATATATTTGTAGCTCAAGACTTCTTTTGCATTCCCAGGAGAACTTCACAGAATTTCTACATTCCCATAGTCTTATTTTATTATGATGACTCAAAGTCTCTTCAAAGTCTATTATTTTTGAAAGATTTTTCCTGAATATCAGGATATGATGCAGGATAATGTATCAGAAGATGTGGCAAGCTACTAATGGGTAATGAGTATTGCATGAATAGTCTTTATGCTATTCATCCATTGCTTTTGTAACGAAAAGAAATGAAGTTATACTGGTGATGCTTTTTTCCTTTTTGTTCTTGTTCACCATGCATCACATTTTAATGCAATTAAACATTTTAAAGTTATAGTTTTTCCTATTTTGGGAATATTTTGAACAATTAATATGGTGGTGCATTTGTGTAGGGATGTACTTAGGAAGAAATATAACTTTATTTTATTTTTATTTATTCATTACATTTATTTGACCCATCTCGCTGCAAGAGTTTATACAGATTTATATAGAGTAAAATAAATTAAGTATAGTCACATATATACGGTACACAGTTGAAAAACGTACAGATGCTAAATTTACAAATAAATAAATCCAATTGCTGTTTCTGAGATTGTCTTTATATTTCTATATAGTTCTAGGCAGGGCTTTTTTTTCCTCATAGAACGCCCAGAACAGAGTTCCACCACCTTTTTGGGATGGAACCTTGTAGAGTAGGCAAGGCAGGTTGTATGACGTGTGAGTTCTGGCACCTTTTTTTTTTTTTAGAAAAAAAGCACTGGTTCTAGGTAGGGGCAAGATATTGATTAATCATTCATATATGATTATTCATATACGTGTGTTGTATGTGTGTGTGGTATCTTTTTAAAAACATGGCAGATGAGTAATTTATGGCTCAGCATCTCAAAACACTTTTTCCAATTTTGCTTTACACAGGGATCTGCCATTTAGCAGTTTGATCTACAGTACAGTTTGTAGTAAGAACTCGTCACATTCAGCTTCTAATTTTTGCAGGTCCTTAGAGGAAATAACCACTTGGACATACTAAGTTCCTCAGCTTTGTTAATAGCTCATTAATAATTCATATTATTGATTCTCTTTTGGCTGAATTCATAACCCATCATCCAATACTTATCATTTTGCTGATTGATGCTTCAGCAAATCTGAGTTTAAAACTGCTGATTGTAGGACAGTAGACAAAGTATTCATACAAATGAGCATTTAAAGACATCCACCTTTTCTGAAATTGTGCAGTTGGTTCCTCCTTTCTCACCTGAGGATTGGAAATTAGGCAAATCACTATTGGTTAATGTTGGATATAAGCCTATCAGGAATCCCAGAATGTAGATTAGATCAAAAAGTTGACAAAAATCTGAGTTTACCTACTAAAACTAGCCCCTCATGGTTGCTACATATCAGTTGGTAAAGATATTAATCATTTTTGATAATTGTTGTGCAAGTGACTTTAATTTTTTAAAAAATATGGTTATGTGCATTAGAGTAAGTGAAGTTGTAAAGAGAGCAATTGTAATTGAACTGTACAGTTCTAATTCTCTTTTGTGACACTATACTTCTTTTCATTTATCTATTAGAGTTCTTTTCTTGCATAAAAACCTGGGCACATTCAGTGGCCAAGCATCTTTCTCTGATAGTCATTAGCCCTGTACTTATGGATAATGGAAGAGGAAATATCAACCCCATTCAGGAGTTGAAATATGTAGAAGAAGGCTTTGTTGATGTTCATCAAATCAGATTCTTACTATCCAATTGCACCTGCTCTTATAAATGTCAGATCTGGCACTTACGTTATTTGCATTCTGTTTGAATGTTGTCTCTTTAAGGCAGCCTTTGAGATATTCAGCTTGCCAGTATGCTTCAGGGTGGGGTAGATGTTGAGAGTATGATGTTGTGCAAATAAATAAATAAATAAAGTGATATATGTAGCCCAGCATTGAAAAAGCCCTGTTTCTCTGGCCCCTCAACTTTAAAAAACAAACAAACTCTATTTGAAACTGTTCCTAAGACTTACTGCCTTCTTGATAAGTGCTCCCAGAATCTGGAATTCCCTGTATAAAGAAGGCAGGCTAATTTTGTCTTGTTCATCTTTCTATGGCAGGGAAAGGTTTAATTTCATAATACTTATTCAGTATAATTTATGCAAGCAGGGTTTTTTTCTCCTTCAATTGGTTCAGTTGCTAAGGGTATTTCTATTTGTATATGCAAGGCTTTTTTCAATCAGTGTGATGTAACTAAAAATTAATGGCATGTTTAATGTTATACCCTGTCACCAAATTCTATATTCTGTCACTGCTTAAATTTTCCTTAAATTTGATTTTGGATTTTACTGCTTAGATAGATTTGTTGTTATAGAAATGGCTAGTTTATACCATTATGTAAAAGTAAAAAAGTTGAGGTTAACTCCTTATTCTACTGCACCAAAAGGTGTTAGAAGTCAATGCCTTTTTTTCTTTTTTCCTTCTTCTCTACACTTTTCTTTTCCCTTTTCCCTACCCTTTTCCTATTATTTATTTTCATATTTTTGTATTTTATATTGTAAACTACTAAAAAAATCCTTAAATTTTTAAAATATATATTATGTGGTTTCATTGTGTTTTTCTCTTACTTCAGTCCATGTATTTTATTATAATTGTGTGCAAAGCATTTTCAAATTCAAAGTTGTTGAACTTGAAATGCTCTATTTTGATTTCACAACAATTGTTCTGAACAGTCAAGACTTGGAAGATTAATTACAACACCGTTAATTAGGACTGAAAGCAAATTGATAGCCAATGAAGAATATGCTTAAACTGATGCAATAAATTTATAAAGCACAGTATTTTGTTCTAAATGGAATTTTTGGATTATCTTCTAGAAGTCTCACATAATGTTAGGTGTAATTCATTAATATCACCTGTAATTCTTGTTCTTACTATTTTGCTACTTCAATTTTGGTTTTGTAGTTTGGATTATATGTTGTAATTCTGCTATTTCTAGTGTAACACTGAATTAATTAATCTTCTTTTCCTAGTATAAATTAATTGCATTGAAAAATGGGAAAGGTGATATTAAAAATATTCATAAATTTATTTTTATAGGCGAAGCTATCCAGTCAAGCACCATATTGATGTCCAAGTGGTCCTCAGATTATAACCCCTTATTAGCTGACCATTAAAAGTTATGAGGGACACTTGCAACTGATTTTCAAAGTTGTGGCTATCACAGCAGTCTCCTAATTGTGATTTAGGCACTTGCAATTACAACCATTGCAGCTGACATGTGATCACCATTTGCAACCTTCCCTGCCAGTCTCCCACAAAGTCAGTGGAGAAGCCAGCAGGAGGTTCCAAGTCGTCCCATATCAGTTTCTTTATCTCTCATCTGTGAACTTGCCTGCCTATGGCACTTGCCCACCCACCCATAACTCTTACCCACACGGCTCACCCACTGGCCTGCTTGCCTGGGATTCCTGCCTTCCCTTATCATGGTCATGTGAGGTCCTTGGTTAACAACTTGCACAGTCCTGGTGTTATAATAGCAAGAATGACTGTTGGGATTATTGTTGCTAAACCATGTGATTATGTGATGTTGTGTTATACGAGTGCATTTTTAAAATTTTTATCCTGCCTGTTTGTTTCATGTTCAGTTTAAGATGGCAAACCTTACCAATTTTATTTCCTCCTGCTATTGTCCCCACAATAATAAATCCGTAGGTGAGTTGGGGTTAGCTGAGAGAAGTGACTGGCCCAAGATAATCTAGCCAGTTTTCATGCCTAAAGTGGGACTAACACTCACCACTTCCTGGTTTCTAGCCAATGCCTTAGCCATTCCATGCTGTGTAACCCAAAGACTATCTGTATGCCATATAAGATGCAAAATATTTTAATAATTAAGTGTATCAAAATTGTGTGAGTATTCTTACACATCACTTGTGCTTAAATTTGGTTATCTCTTTTGCTATTACTAGGATGATGATGGGACAGAAGAAGAAGAGAGCAGAGTAGAACCAGTGGGTCATGCAGATGCAGGTTTGGATAACATCACCTATTCGTTAGAGTAAGTTTATGGCTTTTTAAAACTATTTAATATTTAAAATAATAAGAGTTAAATTCAGAAAAAGTCTTGATAAGTTTTGAACTTTGGTGTTGAAGAAGACACTTAGAAAAATGAACAAATAGATTTTTAAGAAAATCAACCCAGAGTTCTCACTCTAGGTACAAATGAGTTTACTCAAATTATCCTACTTTGAACACATTATGCAAAGATTTAGCTTTCTAAAGAAAACTCTAGGTCTGGGAAAGGTGCAAGGACAGAGAACAATAGAATAAGTACTAGCAAAGTGGATGAAGTCAGTTGCAATGGTGATGACTGTACCTTTGGAAGAGGTGAAGGACCAGATTCAATACAGATCTCCATGGACAAAATCTGTGTGATTTGTTAGAATCAATACCACTGAAGCACTACCTTGTTGTAGGGCTTGTGTGATCTGAAGAAAATGGGAGGTATCCCATAGGTATGAAGCCATACTAGACATTTCTCATCAGAAGAGCCAGATGATACAATGGATGAGGTGTAATTTAAAGCAGCAGCCCCCAATCTTTCCGATTCCATGGACCTGCAGGAGGGGAAAGGGGATGGTTTATTGCGCGCAACCTAAACCAGTGCACGTACAAATGCAGCTTCATGCACTTGCTTGCCACTTACATGACCCGGTTCCCAACTGGTCTGCAGACGGGGTTGGAGACCTCTGATTTACAGAAACCCATACTGAATCTGTTCTTGGCTGGGTCAACAATGTTAGAATTCCTGGACATCTGTGGACATATGGGCTATAGGACTCAGGACTGTTGCCTGGTGCCAATTCCAGTCTAATCATCATATTAATATTTGGATAGAGGTTCAAATATCCTCCATTCAAATGCATGTGTCAGGTTTCTCATGGCTAAGAAGGCAAAATATTGCAAGAATATATTTTTTAAGACATGAAAGCTCAGGTAGATATAGTAATAATAACAACAACAGCAACAACAACTTTATTGTCACTTTGAATGTACACCAATTGGTATACATCAAAATGAAATTTCGTTGCATACAGCTCTCAAAGGGCCACCTCCTCCAATATACACTCCTTGTTCGTGACCAGCTCAAGTTTCAGATCATCCATTTTAGTTTCTAGGGAGCGAATGATGGCACACAGGACAGATGGAAATGGAGCTCCATGTGGATTATCCCTTAAATTAGCTTGTATTCCTGCACGACAATCTTGCCTCCTTTCCTTTTTCTGATCCTGACTCTTCCACCTTTTCCTTAAAGAGGCCTTGCTTCTTTTTGCCCCTGGAGCACGCTGCCACTGCCACCAACTCCTCCAAAAGCCTCTCTCTCTTCCTCTGGGCCTGCAGACAGCCTCATCCAGGTCCTTTGCCCCATAAGCCCCGGGATCTCTCCTCCTCTGCCTCCTTTGAAAACAGCCCTGATTTGCAATAGAATCCATTGCTGGGCCAGCAGTCAGATCTGGCTGCTGGCAGAACAATTTCAAACAGCGCCAACGACTTTTAAGGGTCTCACCAACAGTTCCGAAACAGCTAGAAACTCGCCATGCCAACAAAGATTATCGGTCGTATGTTACCTTAGCTCCACCACATTGCTCAAACACATCAAAACCTTCCTAATCATATGGCCCATATCCCTTAATATCCCTCCCAAAACTTTTCACCTTCGAGAGCCGATGCAGCCGCAGCCGATCCATGCGCCACCATCTTAGAACTTAGATATAAAGCCATTACAGCAGTTTCTGTGTATGAGGCGCAGATTCTGTTTATAATAATCCAGGTTTAGCCTTTTTCTCCTATCCATTTTAGGTAAAGGATTAGAAGCAAACGTTCTTTGGGCAAGGCACAGAGTTTCATCTGTTCCTTGTTTTTGTAAAAACCTCTAGTTGTTTAGTTTTGACTGTGTAGAAAATAATTTTCACAACACGTTCGGTGTCTCTTTTTTCAGATATCTGTTTTTGATTATGTGACTGATTGTGCATCATAAAGTTGGTGTCAGCTCTCAGTGACCACATAGATTTTTTTTCATGATGACTTGTCCCTAATGTTGATCGGGATTCTGATAACTCTGATGATTGGTTGTTCTTATGTTGAAATGGCCGAAATTAGCAGGCCCTTGGTGTTGTGGAAAGTTCCATAAGAAACCACAAGCTTGTGAGCTAAGCACATGATTAAGACCATAAAATGCATGCACAAATGTGTTTGTTATTTCTATACCTTACCTCACTGAGAACTGTATGCTGGCTTCCTCTTATGTAACTAAGTAAAAACAAGAAATCTATATATACTTGCTTCAAACTACATTCAGGGTTCTTCCAAACTTATGGGTCTTTGTTCAGCTGAATAAACATTTATTTTTAAGAGAGATAACCTGGACTCTGTCTCTTTGGTTGTGCCAAGCCACACCTGATTTCTGCTTGACACTAATGTGGATTTTCAAATAATAATCTCCCTATAATATACTTATTGCTATAATTGAGTTTACCCATTTTGCTGCTGATCATCTTCTTCATTTCTTTGTTCTACCTTTCCAGCTTTAAAGGTTTGTCCAAAAAGCTATATCTTTGCATTATGGGTCTGCAGATACGTCTTTAATCTTAGTGAATAAAGTTCTCATGAAAAGAAATTGTTGGTAAATTTTTGCAGAATTGTTCCTCAAAATCTAAATGCTTTGGAGGATTTTGGACATTTATAATGATATCTGTTATTTTCTAATGAATGGAAGACATAACGCGTGCCAAAATATAAAAATCAACTTGTGAAATTGGTATCTTTTCCTAACCATTACGTGTAATGTTGATAGTTACAGTTCTGTGCTTGAGAATACATCTGGAAAGAATCCATTATGACATATAAACGATTATTATTGGACTTGCTCGTTTTTAACACAATAAGTGGAAATTGGATAATTCAAGCAGTGCAGAGAAAAAAAGAAAAACATTGAACAAATAATGAGAAGTCAATTTGATCATTTTCTAGATCTTCCTTCTTTTGTGGCTTCCATTTACTGTGACTGCAATATAATTTTAAAACTACATTGTAAAGTGTGCTGGCTGGAAAGGATTAGAATGAGGGACAAATCAGTTTATCTGGAAAAGCCCTTCTTTGGAGGGATAGCTAAGCAGGAGAACTAAGCAAATGGCACAAAGAAAGGGTGAGACAGAATGATTAGGAAATGAACTACATTCAAATTACAAGAAGACTGGGGAATGTTTAAATATTCCTTGAAAAAAAAAGGAGCTGAAAAGCTGTAGTAGAATTGAAGAGGTAGAAAAAAGTAACAGTTTGCTCCCTGTGATATTTGACAAGCTGCTTTTGAAATATTTCTCATATTTAAAAATTAGTTTTTAATGCTGCATTTGGGAGTAAGAGCTGCCATTCAGATGTGCCAAGTTTATAAAACTGTTCAGCTCACTGAAAATTCCAGAGGTTGTAATGCAAAACATAGTTTAGCTTCTGATTAGAAAAGATAAGCTGGTCTCACATTCTTAAAACAATTAAATGAAAAAAAAATACAGATGTATTGGAATTAATAAGTTATAAATAAAAATTCTGTTTGAATGATACAAAGAGAACTATTTTCAATATTTGAATAACAACTTTCTTATTGCAATAAGGTAAAAATGTACTCTCTTATAAGAAGTTGGCTGTATCCTGATCACAACTTCCATAGCTAAGCTTATATCAATAATGTAATGTATGGGTATACATGTCACGTGTGATTGCATATAAGTATTGATCAATTAATATGCAATCCAGATTTCTCTTATTTAAAAAAACCCCCTAAAGCTAATATTGATATTCAGCCAAGAAAAGCCCAGTCTGCACATATAATTTCATTATTTCATCATCCCTGTTACAAAAGTGGGTAATAAAAACATGTGATGAAAACAAACTATTTCAAAGAGGCTTTGAAAATAATGTGTTAAAAGGAGTAGTTATACATGAAATGAAAGCAAATGAATTTATATTATATGTGTTTTGATGTATGCTGCATAAGGATTTGCCAAATAATACTATAGTTGAATGGAAATTATAGTGGAATGGAATACGCTGTTTTACAAATCTAGATCTATTCATAAATTATGATTGTTTAACTTTGATAAATCTGAGCTAAAAATAGTTTAGAACAGTGTCAGAATATTGCTATGTGGGTGATGTATGAGAACTTTTGACAGTGAATGTTTAGCATACCAGGGCAAAAATCAGTTTTGCGATATGGTTTAAAAATTGCATTTGCAAATTCAGTCATTGATGTGATTCTTATAGAGTTATTAAAGTGATTACATGGAATCATTGAATTGAATGTCACTTGCATATCATTCTGATAATTTTCAGTTTGACAGTTAAGTTCAGATTGACTGGAGTGTTACATTGGATCAGTTTTTTAAAAAAAAAATCAGTGGTTTCAAGCAGATTAATTCATCAGATTTAATGTTAATTAAGAAAGGTTGTTTATGTTTTAATTAAAGATCTAAAGGACTGAGAGATTTATATTATCAACTCTCAGTACAAATTATTAATTTATAAAATCTATAAAATTTGTAAATAATTACAGTGATAATTATGCCAAGACAATATATATTTACCATCTTTCCCTGAAACTTGATTTTTGGGGATGGGCCTAATATAAGCCCTATCCCCAAAATAAGCCCTAGTTTTGGGGCGAGGCACACACCTAAAAATCAAGCTAGGGCGGGAGTGGGGGATGGAACTGCACCCACTTACCTTTCTCGCTGGCCCACTTCTTCTGCAATGTCTTCTGTAGCCAGGCCTGCATTTCACAGTCAGAGGCCTTTCTGGAAGGCCTGTGCAGCCAAGAACTGAACTATGGATTCAGTCCATAGCTCGATACTCGGCTGCTTATGCCTGACTGCAAAATGGAGGCCGGAATGCAGCTGCAGAATGAAACTGCTCCTTCGACCACAGAAGAAGTGGACCAGCTGGGCAAGGCTGTCGGTGCCGGGGGTGAGTATAAAAGACACACCCCATAAATAAGGCCTGGTGCCTCTTTTGGAGGCAAAATAAATAAATAAATTATTTTTGGGGAAACACGGTAGGTTCTTCAGCAATCTACAATACTGTTTCAATTTATATTTATGTCATTTTGAAAGTTATTTATGGAAATACTGCAAAGCAAAAAGAAATGGAACTTTCTGTTTTCTTTAGGACAATTTGATTTAGCCCTAATTTGATACCTAATTCCTAGAAAAGCCAGTCTCAAACTTCTTTCATTGTTGGACATAATACAATTTTTATATTGGCTTATAGTTACATAACTGCATTTCACTTGAATAACTAATGAAATTATTATTTTTTTATTATGGATTTTCTTTCATGCTGTCAGATTATTACTGAGGTATGTAAGAATCAATGTTGCTTTTATCTTCACTAGTTTTCAAATATCTGTGTTTAGTTTTGAGTTTATGTTTTTGTAGAAGTGTGTGATCATTTTTTGGTCCATGTTCACTTTCCTTCATTCATCATTGTCTCACAGTGATATGGTAAAGCTCGTTGAAGTTTCCAATGATGGTGGACCTTTGGGGATCCATGTAGTTCCTTTCAGTGCTCGAGGCGGAAGGTAATGTACCGTATAAGTTTTTAATTGATTCATTTCCTTAGATATGTTGGTTTCTGTTTTTATCTGATTGATTTGTAGGTTGATTGATTGATTGATTGCCTATTTCCAAAACAACTATGGACAGCTTATAGTTTATAAGAATACTGTGTCTATTTGAAATAGAAACATGATTCTTTCACCAGAAAGTCTTTCTGCTGGATCCTTAAGAAATATTTTCAGAATATAACTAAGTTAGTCAAGATGAAAATGGCAGAACTAGTTCTAATTTATATATAAAAAGTTATATTCTGTCCTAATATGACGCTGGATTACAAGAATGTAGATTATTTCTGTCACAGCCTCATAAAAAGTTTTTATTTCACCTTAGTCTGATATTAGAAATGGTGCACAATTTTTTGCTAGTTGCAAGAATATAATGTATAGACTAACAGCATCTGAAATCATGACAGCATTCTGTGGGTAGTTTTTCACTCAAACATGGAAGGAAAAAAAATACAGTCAAGGTAGTATTAAATAAAGTTAGTTATATAAAATATAACACAATTTTTTGATTTGTTGCTGAACATGAGTGTATTATATTGCACCACATCCAAAAAACAAGGAAAGAACCAGGTGATGAGTAAAATGAATATATTACCAATAATGGCCTTATGCCATATACTGTCAGGGAACTGAATTAAAATATCAGTGCTTACTTTATTGAGATAGCATTCCGGTATTCAGGTTCTGTGATTAAATGTACTTGAAAAATTAAATGAGCTGACACAAGTATGATTCCGTGCCAAAATTTGCAAGTTTGTGGTATAAAATCCAACTCTGACACTTCCTCAGTAATGTAACTAGGATTTGAGGAGAAGTAGAAAAAAATAGATTACCATTAGCAGAGAAAAAAAGCATTTATATTTTACATCATCCTGGTGAGAAAGATCCAAACATACATTTATAAAAAGAATCCTGGATTATAAACTGATGTGATGTGATTAAAAGCCAATGTCACTGTAGAGGAAATATATTTTATCTGCTTTTTAAAATTCTTGATTAATAGAAGTGTTTTTGTTCCACAGAATGTTTTGATTATGATATAAAAATAATTCATTCTGGGCACTCATTTAAATATAATGCTGAAGTAGGTACAGCTTCATGAGATACTCTGAAAAAACCTGAAAAATTTCTTATGGTAACTTTCTGTGAAAAATTAGAAGAGAACATCAAATCTAGCTTTACTTTTATTTATTTTAGATTTTTTTTTAAAAAAAATCTTGTCTTTATTATTTTTATAAATAACTGAAGGTAGCAAATATGCCTAATTCTCCTTGCTCCTCCTATTTTCCCTACAACAACAACAACAACCCTGTGAGGTTAGTTGAGCTGAGGGAAAATGATTGGTACAAATTCATTCAGCTATCTTTCATGCCTAAAGTAGACTAGAAATACCTGGCTCCTAGTTTTTAGGCCAGCACCTTAACCACCAAACCAAACTGGCTCATTGAATAGCGGTTCTTCATATCAGAATTCCAAATACAAATGCTGAAATGCTTGGATCAAAAAGTAGAACTTAGCTAAAATATTGAATTTTCTCTTTACTTGTGAGCAATTCAAAAACACATGAAAGTCACTGCATTTTATATCTTTAGAATAATATAAAGCAATAAAAAGACTCAGAATACCTATATCCAATTTTTCAAGGTCAGGGCAGCTTATTTCTGTAAAATGTGAAATGTGCACATTTTCTAAAAATGACCTTTTAGCAACAAAGTGAAGATATAATTTGGTCAAATATCTATTATTTCAGTCATGGATTCTGATATATACTATTCTGTAGAACAGCAGCCCCCAATCTTTTTGGTACCATGGCCAGTTTTGTGGAAAACATTTTTTTCCACGGACCGGGAGAGAATGGTTTTGGTTTTGTTTGCTTGCCCACTACTCACCTCCACCTGTGTGGCCTGGTTCCTAACAGGTCAAGGACCTGTACTGGTCAGTAGCCGAGGGGTTGGGGACTGCAGCTGTGAAATATGAGTTTTAAAGTTTGTTACCCAGCTCAGCTTGATTCTTACAGTGAATAGCATATACAATGTCTGCAATCTTTGCTGTTTCGTCAATGGAACTCTGTGTTTTGTGCATCATGGAGGCTAAAGCATATAAGGAAAGGCTGCTGGAATTGGGTATGTCTAGTTTAATGAAGAGAAGGACGAGGGGGGACATGATAGCAGTATTCCAATATCTCAGGGGCTGCCACAAAGAAGAGGGAGTCAAGCTATTTTCCAAGGCATCTGAAGGCAGGACAAGAAGCAACGGATGGAAACTAATCAAGGAGAGAAGCAACCTAGAACTAAAGAGAAACTTCCTGACAGTTAGAACAATTAACCAGTGGAACAACCTACCTCCAGAGTGAATGCTCCAACACTGGATGTTTTTAAGAAGAGACTGGATAGCCATTTGTCTGAAATGATATAGGGTTTCCTGCCTGAGCAGGGGGTTGGACTAGATGACCTCCAAGGTCCCTTCCAACTTTATTATTATTATTATTATTATTATTATTATTATTATTATTATTATTATTATTATTATTATTATTATTATTATTATTATTATTATTATTATTAAGGCAACATATAAATCAGGTTGTGACATTGTAGAAAGGGAAAATATTATCTTTTCTGAAAGGCCTCATAATTTCTTTATAGAGCAGATATTCTGATACAGTTAAATACACATCTCAGTGACACTTCATTGACACTAGCATTAAAATAAAGTATTTTGCAAGTTTTTTTAAAAAAACCCATTCAGGAAATAGCCAGTAACAATACAGCTTTGTGGGACAGGAAGTTAGGAATGAAAGACAAGCTTTGTGTGTTATCCTTGCTCTGTGCCTTAATTGTTGGGACTATCCCAATTCTGTGAAGTATTGCAGTTATCACAGACAGAACAGTATTAAAAGATAATGTATTTTATTAATTGCTGATATCTTTATCTTAGCTATTAGGAAATAAAAAAGATACTAAATGCACAATTTTTGGAATAATCAATACTATTTTATCAGTCTGAATATTACAAGGTTAATCTGGGAATTCCATGATTTTTTGGAAGTGAAATTCTGTTTATCATTCTTACCATTCTACTGATACTGTTAAATATGAATAATGGGATCAGTAAATGAACAGTGAGATTTAGGAGATTCAGCACCAAGCTGCCTTTGTTTGAAAGCTAAGCAGGATTGGGTCTGGTTAGTATTTGGTTGAAAGAGATTCTGGGAATATCAGGGTTTAGGATGGATTGAGAAATTTAAAATTGCTTCTGCATTGTTTCCAGGAAAACATGATGTCTATATAGTCTTTGGAGGCAGAGTTCAACTAAAAAGAGGCTTTACATTTTGGATATAATTTATTTCTTTGGAATATTGCTCTTTCTTAGCTTTCTTAGTAATTTACATCTATTTTTTCTTTTACTACTTATATTAAAAACTACCTGATTACATTTATATTCTCATTGGCAAATACCACCCTTCTTTTCCAAGTTATCGTGGCATAAGCATATACTTTCATCTTAGTTGGATCAATTGAAATAATAGACATTTGTCTAGATCATGACTGTCCAATAATTTGGTCTCATTGAGTGAAGATGAATTGTTTTGGGCCACATATAAAATATATACAGGTAGTCCCCGAGGTATGAACCTAATAGAGCTTGCCTATTAGGCTCGTAAGTCAAAAATCTCATCAAATGAAACAGACTCAATATTATAACATTTTAAAATCAAAGTCATTAATTGAATCAAATGGGTCATTAAATGAATGAAGATTTAACTTACTATTTCCTCTGATGGCTGCCAGAACTGAGAGATTTTTTCTGCTGCTGCTGCCGCCAGCTGTTTCCGGCTGCCAAACAGCTGTTTCCAGTTTCAGGAAATACGGTACTGTAAATTGCCTCCCAAGCAGGCAGCAGGCTTTTTTTTTTTAAACCATTTGTTGTTAGGCACCTCAAGCTTCTTTAGAGGGGGGTGGAGAAATGTCTGATTGCAGCTGCCACTAAAGTACTGTACTTAGCTTAAGCCTCTCCAGGCAGGAAAACAGAGGGAGATGGGGGTGTCAACTTGCAACAGTAACTGAGATGGAAGGGACCTTGAGGTCATCTAGTCTAAGCCACTGCTCTCACAAGAGAGTATAGTACTGTACTGTATTTTTGATAAATGCCTATCCAGTCTCTTCTTAAAAGCCTCCAGTGAGGGAACACCCACAACTTCTGGAGGCAATTTAAATTTAAAACCTTTAAAAAAAACAAAACACTGCCCCTGATCAGCATAAGCCTCTCCAGGCAAAATCCAAAATGGGGTGGGTGGGGAATTTCCTTCCAGGAAGGCTTCAGCAGAATCTCTGGTGGGTCTGTGCTAGGGAGAGGAGGCAGCAGCAGCCACATGCTATAAGTTTCAGGTAAATGCAAACAAACAATCTTGCAAAGTATTGTACTTACAAACACAATAAAAAGCAGAGCAATTATCAAAGTGATTACAAACTATACAGTACAGTACTATAGAGTAACAAAAAAGAATATTCAAAAAGAATATTTTAAAATACAGAAGTAAATCTAGCTCTCTAGTCCAGCCCAGCAAGTAGCAGATCTTCTACACAGCTCCAGGAAAACAAAAACAAATGGTCAGTGCTGGCCACAAAAATCACTGGATGGTTGGCCATGGACCAGGCACACAAAACAAAAAATACCCCACTTCCGGCTTCTCGTAGGTCCGAACTAGCCCAGGCAAGTCATAGAGTTAAAATGGCCACCACAGCAGCCGAGACTGAATCCAAGTCACATGGCTACAGAGGCCTGTTTTTGAATTTCTAATGTAAGTACCTTTTCTGATTTCATTTTTGTAAAATCTCGCTAAATAAATGCTCGTATCTGGGGGGTTACCTGTAGTTAATATATATAAGTTGCATAATAATGTTAAAAGTTTACAATCGTGGGGCTGAATTACTAGCTGTCATGGCTATATGTGGCCTGTGGGCCACAAATTGGACATGCCTGGTCTAGCTAAAAGGGAAGTAGGAACTCAGTGGCTTTTTACATGATTTGGCCATTGAGCCAAAAGAGTCGAACAGCAGAAAAATGTCAGCTGCAAAATAATAAAAAGCAATGGAGAACTTTAGGTGAAACAATGGCTTCATGGATTCCTCAATTTAAATAATTGAAATGAGAAAAAAAATAGATTGAAAAACACATACACTTTTTTTTATTCCCCTATGAACAAATTCACATTTGTCTGCATTATTGTGTAATTGTTTCTTGATCATGACTTGTATTATAGTGCTAAAAGTTTTTATAAAAGACAAGCTTTTATAATACTTTGAAATTTGGGGAAACATCTGTGTGTAGAAAATAGATATAAGAATCTAGCTTTATCTTAAATGAGCTGTAGATAGTTGTGGTTCTAAGCAGTAATGTATTCTTAGGGAACTTTCACTGAAAGTTATTATTTATCCTGGTGTATTAGAAACAGTATTTTGTTTGGCTGACATGTGATAGGCTTGTGGATGAATTGTTAAGAGATTTTAGTTAGAGTAGGAATCTCAAACTTGGTCACGAGTACCACTTGAGGATTAACTGGATGGCTGGACGGCTACAACCCTGAAGCTTTTCATATTTAATAAAAGTCTCTTGTGAGAAAAAATAAATAAAAAGCTATTAGATTCTGTTAATTAAATTTATTGGAAGAAAATCATCATCATCATCATCATCATTGCTATGTAACAAGGCTGCAAAACAAAGTCATTTTTCAATAGCTATGTAGTTGGCATTATTTTAATTAACCAGAACACAGTACTTAGTTCTATTCCTGTGATACGTAATTTCCTTTCCTTCTCTCTTCCCCAAGATCATATCCGGAGTTGCCTGAATCCTCCTTTTTCTTCTTTCCACTTAAATGTACATGATTTTACAGGAAGGAAGTTCAGTTGCAAGTTTGTAAATAAAACACAACAGATGTACTCTTCAGTTTATGGTTATGTGACAGTGTACCATTCACATGCATCTGAAAAGTTCAGGGGATTAATTCTTCCATCAATGCTTTTTCACTAGCTTTATTAGTTTGATTAAATAAATAAAATAAACTCTGCCACATATGCTAACATTCCTCTTGTATATTTAATTGTAATCAGTGATAAAACTGGAAATAATCAGCTACTGTATTATTGATTTCTCAAATTGCTTGCATTAATATGCACCATTGCTTTGAATATTTGAATGACCCCAACTGCCTCCCAGCTGTGTGAAGAAAGTAATGTATCTTAATAACATTAGGCAGTGCTAATGCCTCAATCTATAAGGAAGATCATCCTAGGTATATCAAAGTGTAGTTCTCCCTATTTATTGCACCACAAATATGCTGAAACAGATGTCTCTCTGACTAAAACGGAATTAATGTAACTGTAACAACAGAGTCACTTTAATTTTTTTTAAATTCCTTCCCACACCTTAAAATAAAGTTCCTTGTGCATAAAAGGGTACTTTAAAAAAAATCCAGCAGCAAACATTTTAAATCAATTCAGATTCTCTGTTCCTTATATTCTGTGCTTCATATATTCATTTTCTGCTTCATATATTCATTTTCCCTCTTGCAGTCAGGGTCACTAATGCAGTTTGCTTGTACAATCTAACTCAATTTATATCTATCTAACTAACTAAACAATATCTGGTCCCTGGCCTGTATGAACCAAAAGTATATTTCAAATTTGTTGAACTCATTTGCTGTGTTCTTGCAGCATAATTATCTAGCCAGTTAAACACCTAGCAATTTGAATATGCTGCTTTGCTCTCTTTAACTTTGCTTTTAACTTTTTGTGTGTGTGTGTGTGTGTGGCTTTGGCATTTGGTTTATTCATGATTAAGGGCATTGTGCAAACTCTGAAAAATGGGTTAATTCAACAACCAAATTGGATTTTTTTTCCCTTGACTATACTAACATAAGTTTGCATTGCATGCTAGCTACAATTTAGCCATATTGAAACCAGTGTGAAATTAAAACATTTCTTAGACATTTAATTAATTTAAAGGAACTATGAGTATTTAATTTTGTCTGGCTCCAAGATAATATTTTTAAATGAGTAAGTCTGTAATTGGCAAATATGGTGTAAAGTCTTTAAAAATATTAAGGAATGGAGCTGGGAGAGCGAAGAAATCTAAATAATTTAAGAGTAGAAATTTTGCTTGGAAGGGTCAAGGACAAACTTTTATCAGGATTCCTGGATACTGGTTGCATTGAGACTTTTAAATTGTTGGGAAGTTTGGGCATAACACATCTGAAGGAAACTGGATTCATGTGATTTGGTTTCTCTAGCAGAAGCATTCCCTAAGGCAAAAGTTTTTGCCTTAAGACTTTTTTTTGATAATCTTAATTATCGAAAAGAGAAATGTATCTAAATATAAATTTGACTATAAATAAATATAAATTAGAATAGACAGTGAACTCTGACTCTCTGGTCAGTGGATATGTTAATTGAAGCATCTCTGTTGGTTTTTTGCCCCTTGGATGAACACATCAGGTAAATGGGCATTCTCCTTTTCCTTTAGTAATTAATTTTATTGTTAAAGCACTTCAAATTTTATTTATTTAGTCTGCTTGAATGACCACCAACTCACAGATTTTGATTCTCAGCAGCTGATATAGCATTTAAAAACAGTAAACAAAATAACTGATGGACATAAAAAATACACAGTATAACCTCTCCTAACATCTAAACAGAATCTGCCTTTCTGTAACTTAGATCAGGGGTCTCCAACCCCTGGGCTGTGACCCACTACTGGGCTTTGAGCCCTTCAGAACTGGGCCAGTTCTGGAAGTAGCAGGCGAGAGCATACCTGCTGCTTGCACACATCCCCATTTGTGCAAGCAGCAGGCAAGCATAGGTGTGTATGCTCCATTTGTGCAAGTGCAGGTATGCGTGTCCACTGCTGCAAAAGGAGCTGCGCACACTTGCGCACCACTCGTGAAGAACCACCCCTCTCCTCTGGCTAGGCTGCCAAATTGGAAAGGTTGACTTAGATCATAATTCTCATCTTGCACTCTTTAATTCCATCAAGTTCTTGAAAAGTGCTGACATGTGCTATCATCACACATGCACAAATATTTTGGTCATCTTTTTTCCAAGCCTAAGTAATCTAAAGGACAGGCTGGCCTCATTGTTTTTAGTCTCTTGCTCATGGCCATCCCTATTATTTCATTTTCTCCAAATCCTCCTTAAAATGTGATTCTCCAGAATCAGGCTCATTAGTCAAAATGGATCTATGGAATATATTAGAATGCTAACTTCCTATAGCGTGAAATGTTCAGTGCAGTTGGTGCAACTTAGCAATGCATTTATCTTTTTAGAACAACCACATCATGTTGCTGATATTTTTTTCAGCTACGTTTCTTTTCATAAATTCTATTGAAAAGCCAAGTATTCTCCAACCTTTATGTTCTTGAGCTTTGTTTCTTAATGAACTCTGCATGTATTCTATTAAATATAATTATTTTTTCTTAGTTTGCTCTCAATGTCTTCTATAGTATTAGCTGTCTGATCTGGCTTTACAATTTCTGCCCTTGTATTAAACTATCTGATGCTTAATTGCTACCTCATGATTTTAAAACCAGATATTGATCTGGTGTTTTCTGATTACTTAACTACTGAAATCAAAATATTATAGAACCATTTATTGGACTCTTTACTGAAGTCAAAATATATCATATTCAAAGCATTCTTTTAATTAAGAAAAAAGTTATCTAAGGTAAAAAATGTTCTCAAAATGTTTACAGATTGATTGATTAATGACCTGCTGTATTATCTTTCCATGCATTATAGTTAAGCTGACTGTTCTATGGTTACCTGGGTTGTTCCTTTTCCCCTTGCTGAAAATGGTATACCTGGTACATCTTCCACTTTTCAGGAGATGTAATAATTGGCATCTCTTCTGATATGACTAGGAAGAGTGGAAATGAAAAATACTGTGTAACCCATAATTTAATGCATAGAAGCCATAGAAATTATTAGTGATAGTACATAACACCTATGCATTCTTTCACACACACTACAAATCATTTTAATGGGCTTTGTGCTGACAAACTTTCTTGCACTCATAATGTAAAATGTCTACTGTACAGTTCATTTATGGTAATCACTTTGAACTGTGATCTGAGACTGCTGGTTTTAAAGGACAATGGGAACATTTCAACATTAGGATGGGGTGTATGCTTCATTGTAAGACTAAATGTACCTTAAAAGCAATTGCCTATCTAATAATAGTTTATGTTTTGTTCCAGAACTTTAGGTCTATTAGTGAAGAGACTGGAGAAAGGTGGTAAAGCAGAACAGGAAAACCTCTTTCATGAAAATGACTGTATTGTCAAAATTAACGATGGGGACCTTCGAAATAGAAGATTTGAGCAGTAAGTGCATAATATTTATCTGTGTGTCATGTTTGCGTTTTTCTTGACCTCAAACTCCAAAGTAGAAGTAATTTATAAAGGCAAAACAATTTTCTACAAGGCTTTGCTTTCACTGGATCATTTTGCTTTGGTCTCTCCTCTGCTATGGTTGTTATCTTTAGTGAATCAACTTCTTTATAGGAAAAGGAAATTGTGTTGGTTAATCATTATGTTTACTTGTTGAAGAAAATATGCAATTTTGTATTCAAAATATACTTACGCATATATAATAAGTGCCATAATCAGTAAAATTATAGAATAGAATACAAGCTTAGAAGAGTATTGGGGCCTGACAGGAACCAGCATTTTTCCTTCACCTTGGTAAAATAAGTTATAATTGGCATGAATATTTAATGAAAATAAATGTAAAGGGAAGAAAAATGCATAGTTTATACTACTTGAGCATTTATTAATTAATGTATACTTTTAGATGAAGAAACAGTACTAGAGTTGTTTTTGTGTGATCAGATTATGTTGCAAAGCAACTTAAACAATTATCTTTCTTATGTTTATCTAGTTTCTTATCTAGTTTGCATTCAAAATCTCTTATAAGTGCAGTATTATGAATTGTTGTGCAAAATAGTGATTTTTTTGCATATCTATTGTACTATAACACTAGTACATAAACATACAGAGTTTACTGTTATATTCTATGCCAGGGGTAGGCAACCTTGGCTCTTTTATGACTCGTGGACTTCAACTCCCAGAATTCCTGAGCCAGCCATGCTGAGGGGAAAGGGAAAGGTTTCCATGCTTAGCCATGCTGGCTCAGGAATTCTGGGAGTTGAAGTCCACGAGTCATAAAAGAGCCAAGGTTGCCTACCCCTGTTCTATGCTAAACTCAGATCTCCTGGGTGGATCTTGGGATCACTGTTTCACATACTATTTTTCAGTTAGATGAGATCCACAATCTTCTGGAAGAAAAAAAATGAATTAGTTGTACAAGCTTATTCAAATAATACATTCTAATCATCATTGAATCCAACATTATGTCAATAAATACAACTGGTTCAAAAAGAAACATTGAAATAATAGAAAAATCATCTTACATAGCTTGTTATTCTGAGTAAACTGAAAATCCTAGCTATACAGTTTAATATGTTATTTTGAAATATGCTAGATAGACATCATGCAGGGTAACTCCATATGTTTGTTGATTAACAGTATTTTGTATTAAATATCTTGGTGAGAAGAATTGTCAAAATTGCAGTGTTATGCTATTTTTAACATTACAACCAGGATCTCAAGAATTATAATACAGTTATTTTAACTAGTAGAAACAAGGAAACTTAAAAAAAATAGTCCTAAGAAAAATATAGTTGAGAAACAAAAGGCATTTGTGAACATATCATTCCAAGAAATATTCTTATCAGTTTACAGTTCAATTAGAACAATATGTCTGTCATTTCATAATGCCTAATTAACATCAGTAATATGCTTGTAATATCTACTAGTCTGCCAGTCTTAATTTGTTAATTTTCCATTCGTTTTAAAACCTAGAGCACAGCATATGTTCCGTCAAGCCATGCGTACACCGATCATTTGGTTCCATGTGGTTCCTGCTGCAAGAAAACAACAGTATATAAAGCTGTCACAAAGTGAAAAGAATGCTTACCATTCCAGTCGTTTTAGTCCTGATTCCCAGTATCAAGACAGTAAAGGTATCGACCACTCTGGACTTCACACTTTACAAAAAATGCCCCAAGTGAGCAATCAAGCTGATGCGTTGGACTCTTATTCACAACTACCTCATAATGTGAATTCAGGAAAACCACCTTTGGCTTTGACATCAACACCACAGAAAGTTCATACCGCTTTGAACTCTGGCTATAATACCAAAAGGATAGGGAAGCGTCTTAAAATACAATTAAGGAAAGGTAAGTTTATTATTTCTGTATTTACATTCATGGGACAGATACAAGTATACATTGATGGAGATAACTTTAGGACCTAGAATTGCTCAACAGAGGAAAATTGAAAAATCTCAACTTTCTAACTGTCCATAGCAAGAGAACCTCAAAGGAAGATTTGCTTTCAACTTGGGAAAGGCAGAAGAAATAGGCAGTGAGTTAAAAAGATGTAAGAAGAGATTGCAACTGACTAGTGATAATTAACTATTTAGAGTGGTTTCTACCTTGGCATTTTAATAATGATTACTTACCAGTTCTACTGTGTTGACTTACTGGAACATTTCAGCCAAGTTTGAGTGCCATTTCATACATTAACAAGACTTTTTTGCATAGTTGTCAAGAGGGGCTTTTATTATGCTTTAATTATGATCTAATTAAAGATCATTGTATTCTGTTTACTGTTGAGAACCAGGCTACTCTTTTCTAGTTCCTGAATGTTAAGCTCAAAAAACTTGAATGATACAAAGTTGAGTTGATATACATATGTATATGTATATGTGTGTGTATGCGCTTGCATATGTATACACAAACACACACTCATGCATGCATACATACACGTTTATATTGCTGTTGATTGTGTACAAAATTACTTAAATGTCATGAGTTTAAGATGATATCCTTGGGATTGGAGAAACATTATTCCGAACTGAATGAATAATCCTGTGGTTACAATTATAAATTTGATCACTGTAGAGATTTACCAAGTTTTTCAATTGTAATAGATAAGGAGAAAGTCAATTAAAACACTGCAGGGACATTGTGCAAGCTTCTGATTTTCAATAAATGAAATCCCATTCTTGTAATTTATATAATTGGAACAGAAATTTAAACTTAATAATGGACTAAACGCATTTTACGTATCTTGAGAATACATGACTGAAGTACAAACAGCTGTGGAGCAGTTTAGGACTTCATTATCTTATTATATTAAATAATCCAGTCTTTGAAGACTGCAATAGTCAATTTAGAATCAGTTACTGAACTACTCTTAACTAGAGCCGGTCCAAATAAAACCATGCCAGACTTGAAGAAACCACAGTGCTGGTGACCAATTTCTGCATATTGTTCTAATAGCTGATGGATATATTTAACCATCTTTTGTGACATATATGATTTGATATATTAATGCTTATGTCTACCATATATTATGATACCAACAAAAATCTGAGTTAGGTTGGTGGAACTATGGAAAAGTATTTGCAAACTAAACATCATCTTGAGAGATACTCAGTACTTGCCTTTGTAACTTTTTAGATCCATTCAGTTAATCACTTTCTTTATTACATTGTCACAAAGTAAGGGCCTGAAAATATCATTTGTGGTCAATTCTGATTTCAGTTAACTTAATTTTTGCTAAACGTTAATCCACACAGTCTAACACAGAATCAATTACATGTAGCGTTTAAATTAAAGAGCTGTAATGCCAATTTATATATTCCATTTAGCTCTGGTGAAGATTACCCCAATGGAAGTCTCTTCAAATTCTGTATTTGGCACTATATTTGAAGAAACTGCTCATTCGTCCATTCATTCATTCTTTCATTGTACACTGCCCAACTCTGAATGTTTCTGGGCAGTTGCAACTATTTTAAATAAAGCCATACAACATATGGCTTGTGGGCTGCTTGCAACCTACCAAGAAGCCTTATGTGGCCCCCTGGCATTTTTTAAAAAGTCAATATATTCACCAGCATTGCTGCTTGCTAGCCATTGAACACGTGAGCCACATTCAGGTATTTCTTTGGGGGCCACAGAGATTTTTCATTGATCAGTATGGCCCTTTCTCTCCTATACGTTGTACAGGCCTGATTTAGAACATAACTGCATATGTTGTATATTATACAACATAGCAATCAGGATGTGTGATGCAAATAAATTCTTTCACTCTTTATAGCAACTGGGCCCCCTCCAACAGAGTTAAGGTTCACTCTGGGTAGAAATATGCCTTGTGCCATAATTCCCATTTGATTGTGTAGAAAAATGTACATGTGGTACCACAAATGAAGAATAACCTAGCTCAGTGATGGCGAACCTTTTAGAGACCGAATGCCCAAACTGCAATCCCAAACCCACTTATGCATCGTCGGGTGCCAGGTGGGTGTGGCCCATTGGCTGGGCGTGGCCCATTGGCTGGGCCTGGCTGCGGTGGTAATGGCAGACTGGGTGGGACTAAAAGGTTCAGTCAATCAATTCCAACTTTGCAAGATTTTTTTCCCCCGCAAGAAGTTGAAATTGACTGATTGATTGAACCTTTTTTTTTTTGCACACAGCGGCGGAGATCTAAAGCGAAAAGGTTTTATAAAACCCAGCTTGAAGGCCTAGGACTGGGGCGACGGCGCGCATGCCCACAGAGAGGGCTCTGAGTGCCGCCTTTGGCACCCGTGCCATAGGTTCGCCACCACTGACCTAGCTTAAAATAGCCCAGAGCAAACAGTTGATTGTCTTTGTTTTTAGTAAAGGATATCATAATACAACAGGCCTTAAGGAAGCCTAACATGCTATTTAATCTAGTAGCAACATCATTAGGTTAAAATTTCCTTGTTTTTGTGTGTATGTATTTGTATGTGGGAGGGAGAGAAAGAGAGAGAGAGAGAATTATTATATTTTTGTAATTCTTTCCATATTTAACCATTCAATTTCAAATTATGATATAAATGGAGAAGATTAAGCGAATATACTTAGTATACTGTACAAGAGTCTTCATTAAAGATCTATTTTTACAAACTGTATAAGCTATATTGTTTAAAATGACAAAATGGGATACTCTTGCAGTAATTGTACTTACTTCCATTATAATTTCTTAATATTTATTGCCATTTTGGCATTTTCAAATAACCTGATCTTTCACAGGAATTAGTTATTTAATAAAGTTAGAAGAGAAGGTCAGTAATATGCTTCTGTCAATGAAGAATGTTTGTTGGCTTTTTCTAAATGAAAATTGATATCTATTTATCTTTTGTTAAAGGTCGGGGCTTGAACGTCTAGCAGACAGATTTAGCAGTTATTGGTGATGTTCTAATATGACTAGGATTTTTCCATTCTGCCAATCTTTGTAGCTCATATAATCTAAGGTCAATTCTTGCAGACACTTCCATGAGTGCAGCGCTTTCCTTATATACTACAGTGTTGAACCCTTAGATCTTAAAACATCACACATGAAGTGGATTGAGACTGATATTAAAATGGGTCTGTGTCAATCATTTTGTGTGGCATTGTGAACATTGAATAAAGCATAGTATGAAAGAGAAAAAGATATAGGGGATGGAGAAACATGGTGGACAGTGCAAATGGGAGCAAAAAGTGTACTTTCGCCACATTTGGTTCTTCAAAATTGCTAGAGCTTTTGGAAGTATATTTATATATTATTTATTTATTTCATTTTTTACATTTACTATAACCACCCACCCCAGCAGATTCTCTATTGAGTGCCTTTCTAATCATATCTCTGATGTTTGCATATTTAAAACTTAGTATACTGTATCAGAGAACTTTTGAGAATTAGATTCACATCTCAGTCCCATAAAGGATTATCTTTATTACTCTTATCCCTTTTCCCATCAAGCACATGGCATTTTTCAAACTGCAGTGCTGGGCTTAGTGGTGAAAATAATGCTGTAGTATTTAAGCAGGGTGAAAATAGTCTATCTTTCCAGTTAAAGGACTATTTCTGATTGCATTTCTAGAGGACATATTCTTTTATAGGCATTGTACAGAATGGCTCATATTCTCTCAACAATTCCAGCAAATACTTGTGTAATTATTTTGATTGCACATGCAGCTGCAGAACTTTCATTTTCAGATGACCAGTTCAAGTTTCTAACTGGTCATTTTCAGATACAATTATTGTGATTGCCTACATGCAATTCTAGATTGTGGATCACCAGTATAAAAGGATTTGAAAAGCACGGCATCTTAGTAGTCTTGCAAAGAGTGTAATTAAACAAAACATTTACTTAGCCTTGATCCATGTGATATTGCAAAACTTCCCTGAATAATGGTTTGCATATAATGGACTTCTAATGAAACATAGTAAACAATGTTATTTGTGTTTGATGAACAATTCACTAAAATCAGAATGGGATTGCACCTTATTGGGGAAAACAGCAAGGAATAAATAGGCCTGTAATCAGCTTGCCATCATTGCTTTATTTTTATGTCGCATTCCTATACCTTTTCTTTTCTTTTTGCTTCAAACATGGAACATTTATTTCTCAGTTGAAAAACTGCAACCTGGTATATGATAACAGAAATTAGATCCTTTTTTTTCTATATGGTCCCTATTGTAACAGAAAACTTTTGAATTATCAAAACCTTCAAATACAGACAGTAGAGATCTCTAAAGTTGTTGTAAATTATAATTTTTAAAATGCCTGAAAGGAGAAAATATTAAATGCATGATTGAAAAGCATTGATATATTTCATTTCTATGATAAAATAAAATAAAGTAAAATTTAGTTTTAATGTTTTGAGTCAGTCCACTACTTTGTGGAAGGCAGTCTTCAGACTATCACTCAAAGGCAACTGCAGTTCTTGAACAAGACCATGTTGCATACATAGAAACACAGAAAAGGATCCAATAATCCATTGAGTTTGCCCTTTGAATTTTGTTTGTTTGTTTTTGTTTTCTTTTTAATTTATTTTTTATTTAATTTTTTATTTTTATCAGATAAACCTATGTTTATCCCAAGCATGTTTAAACTCAGTTACTGATGATTGACCCATTACATCTTCTGGAAATTGTTTCCAAGCTTCCACTTCTCTTTCTTTTAAGTAATATGTTCTAACATTACTTTTGAATTTTCCATCTGTTTGATAAATGCCCCTGGGTTCTTGATTTTTACTTAATATTGAAAATTCTGTCTTCTAGCACCTTATTCACATCCTTAATATATTTAAAAATTTCAATCATTTTACTCCTTTTCTTTTGTCCTCCAAGCTATACATACTCATTTCTTCCAATCTCTCCTGATATGTTTATCCCTCAGACCTTAACCATTTTAGTTGCCTGACATTCAATACTCTATACCCAAACACTGTAAGCTGACAGTTAGAAACTTGTGTCATAATGACTTATCTTCCCTTATACACACATGCTGCCTATGGCCCCATTAGAAATTGAGTAGTTTCTAATATGCTTACACTCTGTTATTTTGTTTAAGCAGTATTACAAAATCTTCTTAGAATGTTATTTTCTTAAGGAAAAATAATAGAAAATAATGTTCTCAATTGCTGTTTTACACTGAGTATTATTATTGTTGTTCTTGTAAAGATGATAGGTACCTGTATTATTGCTACTATTACAAAAGAGGTGTTCATTGTGAAAATAGCAATAGTAGTTAGACTTAGATACCACTTCACTGTTCTTTACAGCTCTCTCTAACCGGTTTACAGAGTCAGCATATTGCCCCCTCTCCCCCCACACACAATGTGGGTCCTCATTTTACCGAAGGATGGAATGCTGATTCAACCTTAAGCTGCTCAGAATCAAACTCATGGAGTGAGCAATGTGTTGGCCTGCAGTACTATATTCTAACCAATGAGCCACCACAAGTCACTGATTCTAATACCAAATATGTTGCCCATTTCTGAGTCTAGTATTGCTTTTTCAAAAACAATTCTATATTTTTTATAACAATAATAAAAAAATACAAAAATTCAGAGAGAAAAATAAAAAAGAATAAAAGATGTACAGGGAAAAAAAAGAAAAATAAAAGAGTAAGAAAAAAGAAATATTTAAAGAAGTGACTTCCAATCTTCTTCACAAATACAAAAAAACCTAATTCATCACCTCCTACAGTGTTAGATGCAATCATCTTCTTTTTCCATAACCCATCCCTTATCAATACACATTAATAATTTAACATTAGTCTTAAGATTAGGAAATATTCCATAAAGGGATCCCAAATTTTTACAAATATTTCTCATTTTAACCTTGATCAAACAAACCAACTGTCAAGCCTCTATGGGCTCGACACTGATGGGAGGGGGGAGGGGGCAAGGACTTCATTTTGTTTCTATCAATCTTAAGCTTTAATTCATTCAGATGCTATTTATGGTAGGATTTGATCTTCAATTTTTCTTTTTCCCATATGAAAGACTTTTGTAACCAACTTCTTTCGTAAGTTCAGTAAAACGTCCCTTTTGAGGTCAGTCTTTTGGCTTTTTATTTGTATTTCCACTTTGTTTTCTCAGTATTTTAATCCGCCCCTTTTTTAAATTTTCAAGTATTTCTGCAAATTCTGTACTGGTCTGTAATGGAATGTCCTCCTACTCATTCTGACATAACCTCTTTTCATTAGTCAGTTTTGCAAATAAATAGATTATTGTGGGGTGCACTGACTATGTTCATACCTGTTACTTTTGCTCAAATATGAACATTACTCATGAATATTAAACAAGGGTGGTTTCAGAGTTAATCATCCTCTGTGCATTCTCCCATACCTTGTCTTATTCCAACAATAATTTTTATAATGCATTATTATTGTTGTAATCTAATGTGAATGGGCTTTTGCATATAAGCCAATTTAAAAATACTCTAAAAAGCAAATAAATATTGTAAATAAATTGAATTAGAATTAAACAAAATAATTGCTTGTATTTCACTCTGTCCAAAGGCAGATATTTTCCCTGAAAATTATCCATTGCTAAAGTACAAATGGTTTCAACTCCGAAAAGTTCAGTTTGGTTTTAAATGCTTAGTTCTTTCAATTCAGAATGCACTTTTTTAAAAGACTTACCTCACTGACACATATTTTGAGAGTTTTCACTCTGGGAATGCCTCAATATATGTGTATTAATCAAATCTTTAAAGTAGAAAGCTAATTAAAATTCCACTACTTCGATCCAGAATTATTTCTGTTCATAGCAAACTATAATGCGAGAAATGGAAGATATTAAGCAATCAATTCATGATTTAGGTGAGATCTCTATGAGGCCTCAGCATACAAAGTAAGAATAAAATTAATTAAACCCAAAGCTGCAAAGAACATTCATTGCATAAAAGTGTCGCTTTTTATTGTTCACAAGCACTTAAGTCAAAAGAAGATGAAAACTTGGAGGGACCTCAGCTGGTTCCACATGGAGATTAAAGGAGATAATAGTCTCTTAATGACTGAATGCTGTACAAGTTTCCTTTCTGCATAAACCCAAGCGAAGAGAGAAAATAAAGGGAACTTTTAAAATGAACAATATGTTTTTCAAAATGTCTGCTGGGCATGTGGACAGATGTTGCTATTACTCAGAACTACTACATCTATCACCACCACTGTCTTCTGGTTCTTGTCTACTACACAGTGCCTGGTTAATTGGCCAGTCCTTGCCTATCCATCTGAACATGGAAGTTCTACAGGATCTTAGATCTGTTTTTCTCCACAACATTCTGTGAAATCTCCCATCTGGACCTAAGGAATTCTGGGAGTTGAAGTTCACAAGTCATAAAAGGACCAAGGTTGAAGATCCCTGGTCTAGTCCATTCACTGTGCAGATATTCCTGTACACAATGCCAGTTGCTTGGTTGTACTGATCACCATACACATAATCCTCAATTTATGACCATTCATTCAGGGGCTATTCCAAATTATGAATGGTGCTGAAAGAAAGGAGTTATGACTCCTGCCCAAAGTTACAGCCATTGCAATGCCCCTGTAGTCACACGATAAAAATTCAGGCACTTGGTAATGTGCCACCCTTACAACTATAGGGATTGTTGCAACTCCCTTCCTGCCTGGCTCACCAGGATGTGGAAAGCTTCTGTAGCCTTGAAAGTCTTGTTCTGCTTCCTGTTACTTCTCCTCCTCCTTCCTGACTAGAAAGCTACCAAAGTTGATGTTTCTACCCTTCAGAAACATTATGCAGAAAGCCAGCATGCAAAGGGGAGGGTTAGAGAAAGGAAGCTTAGATTCTGAAGATTTGAGTTATCTTTCTCCATTCATAGATGGAAGGGCAAGAAAAAGGAAGCTCAGATATTTTACTACCAAAACTTCATTTCTCCAGTCCACCACAGGAGTTACTTTCCATGGTCCCTTTTGGCAGGGGGCTCTTTTTTCTGTTTGTTTAACAAACACAACTAAGTTATTGAGTGAAGTGATTATGTGGGCATCTCAGTTAACAAGTGCAATGACTTACCAAAGACCAAAGCTTACAACTAAAATTCTGGACCCAGTTATGATCATAAGTATAGGATTGCCTGTACACTTTTCCTGATTGCATTTTATAGCCTGCCACTACGTATTGGACTGAGACCTCTTTGCATAGTTTGCACCTTGCATAGACCCTGCTTCTAAGATCTGGTGCTTGATGTCTTTTCTTGGGCTGTTATGATCAGTGTCTTCCTGTTGTTTTTTTTAATCTAGCCCTTTCTTGCTATATCCATTTGGAAATAATCACATTTTGAACACCATTTGGAAATATCATATAGTACAGCCTTACTTCGTGCGCTGATTAGACAGCTTCTGGTTTCTTCTATATGTTCGCTATGTGCATATTATTTTGAGACACTGAGTAGGCTTCAAGCCATATTTTACATCTTGTTTTTTAAAAAATTAATCAGGATAAAACTGGACTTTCAGTTTTAGATAAAACTGGGGATAAAACTGGGGAACAGAATTTCCTGATGTCTTTCAGGAGTCATTTTTCCTTGCAACTTGTGCAGGCCAAAAAAGAACAGTTGTTGACAGATAGCAAGCCTGTGTCCCCCAGGTAACTATTTAAACTCATTACCTCTTTGTGGATCTATGCAGCCCTTCTTTTGAGACACTGGAGAAAGATGGCTAGATTAAACAATGTGAAAGAAGGACAATCTTAATCAAACTGGATATACACAAAGCCATAGCTACCTTAAGATTTTACACAAACTCATAGCTTCCTTAAGATTTTACACAATATATAATCTGCTTTATAACGATGCCACATCTATTTCGAAGCCTGGAACTAAAATGGCAATTTATAAAATTCTGCATAGAATGAGCCCCACTATTCTCAGTAGGTTAGTGATTATACAGAGCTCATAATTTAAATCCATTTCCATCTGGTTTTAGGTGTTGATACAGAATTGAAACAGCTTTTGTTATCCTGGTTAATTATCTTTACTGGGAGATTGCTACTGTATGATTCTCCTGGATTTCTTTCCAGCCTTTGAGATCATGGACCAGGAAATATTATTGGAATGACTCCATACAGTGGTGCTTAGAAGTTTGTGAACCTTTTTGAATTTTCAGTATTTCTGCATAAATAGGATCTAAAATGTGATCTATTCCCTTACACAAGTACTAAAGCTAGATCAAGAGAATCCAATTAAATAAATGAGGAATATTATACTTGTTCATTTACAGTATTGAAAAAAACAAAAATATATTAAGAATTGTTATTGAAACTGTCTGATATGGTTATCAGAGCTATATGCACATTGTGATACTGAAAAACCATATCAGACTGTATTTATTAAATATGATGAGCTATAGAAAGAAAATATGGATGCTTAGGTAGCTTTATGTAAATCCAAAATTTCTGATAATGCAGAGGCACAGAATAAGCTGACAATACTTTTAAATAATTTCTATAGGTACTGAAGGCCTAGGATTTAGCATCACTTCAAGAGATGTTCCTATTGGTGGCTCAGCTCCAATTTATGTGAAAAATATCCTTCCAAGAGGCGCAGCTATTCAAGATGGAAGATTAAAGGCTGGAGACCGACTCATTGAGGTGATGAAATGTCACAATGCTATTGGGAATTTTATAAGTCCTTTTGGCAAGCAACTTACTTTTATATGAGTTATGTAGCAATCCAATTAATTTTTTCCCCTCATCTCCTCTGCCAGGTTTCTAGAGTATTGTCTTCTGATTTTCATATTTTCAGAATAACAATGTTAATAAACAGGAATATCTTAACTTGCTTTACAAAGAGCATCTGTCTCATTTAGAAAAGAGAGATTTTTAAAATATATATATTAGGATGAATGCACAGGCTTGATTCATAGAAAATAATTGGAAATATCAACCTTTTTGGTAAGATGTTGCTATATTTTTAATAGATTGTCATAAGGAATAATGCACTGCAACAATTTATTCGGGATAAGACATGAGGCTTTGTATCTCAGTTTAATTCCTATAGCAAATTATTTATTGAATAGGTATAACAAAAGCTGAAGATATTTAAAAAAATAAAATCTGTTTCATTGCAACAATTTTGGGGAAAATTATTCTTAGTAGCATAGAACAGCAGGAATTTGCCTAGCCTTAGTATTTGTGCCATATCTGATAAGCATTTTTGTAATGACACAAATTATGTGTCTTGGATCAAACTCTCTAAGCTGTAGTTTTGGACCGATATCTGGAAAGATGAAATGATTTGACCTTTACAGTTCATTGGAAGAAAAAAAAAATAGATTAACCTAACAAGGGACAAATAATGGATGGTGATGAATTTGAGGAACAAATTTTAGATATAAAGCATTATGTATGTGTGGTCAAAAGTTAGTATTTAAAAAAATGAATAGAGGTAATGGTCATAGTCTGTCAAAACAGAAACAGTTCTTGATAGATTTGACAAAGTTGTATGGGAGGATCTAATACTGTATTATTATTGTGATGTTTATGATGTGGCATTGCTATAAAATATGGCAACCACTTTTAATGCAGGAGGGTGCTAATTTCATGGATTCATTTCTTTTCTTAGCAGTACTCACACAGGAAGACATAGAAAACAAAGAGGAAAATATATAATAATGTTTATTCTTTCTACAATGAAAATCATCTAATGTTTAGTCTAATAGCTACCATTTGAAAGAGTATGGACCATTTTAGAGAAGTATGTCTTAAAATATTAAGATATCAGAGGAGGTTTGTAGCAAATTGTTCCCAGGAATAAATTGTATCTCAGATTGGTTCCATCATTACTATTTATGGTTAAACATTGTATATTTCTTTTTAAAAAATGAAATTAGACAGCATTCCAATTATTCTATGCCTCTGTAGACATTGTTTACATTTATACTGTAACAATAGGAAGAATTCTATATTAGAATGAAACAAAGTCCATGTACCTTCTCCATGCCCAAAGAATTTTATGGTCTAATTCCTTTATTCACTTTTGAAAAAGTTTTTCTCCAAAAGCAATACATATTTTAAAATAAAATACGATCCTTATGAAGCACCATTAAAATTATTAAAATCTGTATATAAATTCAATTTTTTTATCTGATATGAAACAATATATAACAAGGCATTGGTCAGGCAAATCTCCCTGAATAGAGTATTTCCCAGTCTGAAAGCTTGTTTCTCATATTATCATATCTCACATACATTAATGTTGTAAGTATTAATGTACAAGTAGATTGATGTGGAAGCAGCTGATAGCTTATGGATTAAAGAATTTTAAAGTCCATCATAAGTTTGTATTGTTTTCAGTAGTGAATCTTGATCCACTTCTTTTATAAGGACTAGCTTGTCCCTTTATTAATTAACTGATTGACTTATATGTCTACGCATCTTGTAAAACACAACTCTGAGTTGTTCATAATGATTTTTTAAAAAACAGACACGGAAAAACAACAAACAAATCAGGTACCTTATCCACCATTTTGAACCCATAAATCCACACAATCCTAGGCTCCAAACATATCTATCCAAGTATTTAGGCACAAATATTTAACTTAAAAACCATTCTTAATGTGGTGGTGGTGGTGAGGGCTGCTGTATCCAGATCAAAGGAGGTTTCACAGCGCAGAGGCTACTATGAAAACTATTTTAAATTAATGATCTTTCTATACCTCTTCCTACCATAATTTCCTAAACCATACTAATGAAAATGTGGAATACTTAGAATACCGAGAGCTGAAAGGTTCCAGGTTAAAGTATCTCAGTTTAAATTGTGCCTTTTTGCTATTCTCAGTTCTACACATTCATTGCCTATGAAATCAGTCGCCCTGCACCAGAACTAACTAAATCTGTCAAGCTTCACACGATTCTCTGTAAGGAAATAAGAAACAGAAAGATTTGCATGTGGAAGTTTTTGGAGATTCTCTTTATGATCTTGTTTTCCAAGTGAAAGGCATCTTTCATTTGGAAAGGCATCTGGATTGTTCTTTGGGCATGCTGGTTTTGCAATAGTGCAGACCTTTTATGATGGTTCATAAAGAGCCAGGTTCCAGTTTATAATAAAATCCAATAGCTTTTTTTGCTCATGCATTTAATTACACTGAAATTTACTTAAGTACGGTTTAAGTTCTCAGGCAATTTAGCAGTATTGCAACATATGAATGTATTATTTATGCTAATGGATTTCCTATTCCAAGATAGAAGATGATGAGATGTTAACATTGTCCCTAATTTCTATAAGGAGAGTTTTAAATAGCGGTGATTGTCATAGTTGATTTAATATATTTTCTTTTCTCTGGAGCTTAGTTCTTACTTGCTTACCTCAATATGACTTGGTTTTACATGTATGTGGTCTGGTTTAGCCTATTAGTAAATTTTCAACAATAACAATGTCCTCATAAATGGTCCAGATAAGAGAATTGAAGGAGCACTCATCAGATTTGTGGATGATACTAAACTGTGTCTATGGGTGGAGAGGATTACTAACAACTTGGAAGATAAAATCAAGATTTAGAAGGATCTTGACAGACTTGAACATTAGGCCCTATCCAACAAGAAACATTTCAATGGTAAGAAAAGTAATGTCCTGCATCTAGGCCAGAAAAACCAGATGCACAGATACAGGATAGGCAGTACCTGGCTCAACAGTTGTGCCCAGTGATCTAGATATTCTAGTGAAACACTGCTTAAATATGAGTCAGCAGTGTGCTGCAGTTGCCAGAAAAGCCAATGCAGTCCTAAGATGCATCAAGATCATGAGAACTGATAATACAGCTCAGTACTGCACTGCTGAGGCCACATTTGGAATATTGTATTCAGTTCTGTTCATGATACAAAAAAGATGCTGAGGCCCTAGAAAGAGTGCAGAGAAGAGCAACAAAGATAATAATGAGTTTGGAGACTAAGTCATAGGAAGAAAACTATATAGCCTAATAAAGAGAAGGCTTAGGGGAAACCTGATAGCAGTCTTCCAATACCTGAAGGGCTATCACAGGGAACAGTGGATTGATTTATTCTCCAAAGCTCCTGAGGGCAGGCCAAGCTGGGTGGAAGCTGGTCAGAGAAAGATCCCACCTGGAAATAAGGAGGAATTTCCTTAGAGTGAGAATGATTAATAAGTGGAACAGTTTGCCCCCCAGAATTTGTCCGAGATGATACAGGACTCCCTGCCTTGGGTAGGAGATTGGACTATTGTTGGGGTTTTGAGTATATTAGGATTTTTGTTTTGTTTTTCATAGCAGTAATTTAAACTTTGTATTGTAATATTAATAATTGTCAGCTTTCTTTTATCTATTGACAGATTTGGTAGCCTAGATTTATTTTTTTTTCTAATTTCAAGAGTTGGCTTCAATCTAGCCCCTTCAAATTTATGTTTATTATAGTCTGTAGAGTCATCATATTTCTATAGTAAAATTTCCGTTGCACCGTTGTAGATTCTATTTTATAGCTGGCATATATTCTTGAAAATAAAGATTTGTTGGAAAAACATTGTGATTGAAAAAGTCATTCTTTCTGATGCTGGAAAAAGTAATTTCTTATACATATAGGCCTAAGCAACTTTCCCCCCAATTTTTGTTGTAAATTTTTGTCACAGGTGCTAAGTTAAACTGTTAGGCTCCCCCTTCCCGCCCATTTCATCTCGGAATCCTTCTTTGCCTGTTCAGAGATAGCTGATAATCTTACTTGTGGGCTATGGAGTATGACACACTCATGCTTAATCATAATGTATTTAACTGTGACTTTTCTGTATACTAGCCTTGGCTGGGTCTGCAGATGTTAAGCCAAAACCAAACAGACTATATTACTTTTTAGTGTAATTGGGGAATCTGGTCATAATTTTGATGATATCTAGCAACTTTTGGTGATTTATTTATCACTGTGATGGGTAAATAGCTAATAACCCTATTACATAAAGAAAAGGAAATCGGCTCAAGGAGTAAGCATGGATTGTGCTAGAAAGATCAGAAGAGAGCAAAAGCAATTACCTCTTTTTAATTAGCATTTTCTCTTTGTAGTTGAATGCTGAGCAGTCATAACCAAGGAAATAATGAAATCTACAGTTTGCTGAGTCAACTGTGGAGTTTAAGTGTCTGAGTAATTGATCTGAGAGGTAGCATGATCCATTTTTTAAACTTAAATAAAAACATTTCGAATTGGATTTATACACAAGTAAGGAATGTTCAAGATTTCAGCGTTAAACAATGATAAAGGATATTTGTTCTGTTCAAAGTTAACCTTCAGTACTAGCTAATCTATCATAACATCATTCTTTGCTATGGCTACTTTAAGATTTCCCCTCCCCCCCTTTCTTTTAGGTAAATGGAGTGGATTTAACAGGAAAAACCCAAGAAGAAGTTGTTTCTCTCCTGAGGAGCACTAAAATGGGTGGATCGGTTAGCCTACTAATTTTTCGTCAAGAAGAAGCATTCCATCCTAGGGAATTGGTGAGTATTTTATTTTATTTTTGTTCATTTCATTTTAAAGTGATTGTGTTTATTTTAAAAAATGAATATCAGAAAATAATCTGACAACCTGCTGTTGCACATGTGTAGGTAGAAATGGAACACACAGAAATCCCTTCTATTATGTTACCCATGGACGCTGTTTCTGAATTGTTTTTCCATATTAATATGTGAACCAATATTTTCAAATCATGGGTGACAGGAAATGCAAATTATAACGTGTTCATGGCCCTTGCTTTTATGCCTACAGACAATGGGATTGTTCTGTCTTTTGTACTCGCTTCTCTGTTGGAAATTTGTTGTTTGTCATACTGAATGAGCTTGCTTTTTTATTGCTCTGAGAGCATTAAAATTAATCCAGAATGGTATGTAAGAATGCTGTGGTTTGGAAAAGAGGAACTTGTGCAGGGACAAAAATGTTCTTTTTATTAAAATAATGATCCCCATGTGGTGCAGACTCCCCACAGTTCTTAATTTAGCAAAATGATTCAGATAATGCTTTTTGTATAATAAAACATTTCTATTTAGGCTACTGTTCCACAAATTAGATGTAAATGTTTCCCCAATAAGTATGCAAGATAGCTTTTTTTGTATGTGGATAAAGCACATATTAAATATATAAACTGTTTTATGGTGGATCATACATTAAGCAGTCTCATTTCTAAAATTTATATTAACTGACCAGGAACTCAAGTTTGTCCATATAAAGCAAAACATTTTTTCAGACTTCTCTGTAATATAAAATGAAAACTAGCTACATAAATCTCTTCTTTTTGCTTTAAATCCTGTAATATCAGCAGTATAAATTCTAGGAATTCTGGGAAAGGTAACTTTTCATAGTAGCTGTTACTCATTTTAAGGATTTAAATGTTTAGGAAATTCAATTTCCTGGGACTTTTAATATGTGATGTTCTGATATTATAGTGCTCAAAGCTTTAGGAAAAGAGAAACTAGCAAATCCTTGCCCTAAATTTTGAAGAGCTGCAACCAACATTTTTAGTGTTAAAATACTATGTTAAAAGGAGCAAAGATGTGAGTAGAAAACAACTATCTAGGTTTCTGAATGCTATGTGTCAATCATGCTATTTGAGTTTCTTCTAAATAATAAAAGCTCTGATATGCAGAATATTTTCTTTTTTGGGTTGCCCTGTAGGTGGCCTGTTATGATTTGACCTAAAAAGAAGGCTATTCTTAGGTAAAAGGAAAAAAAGTTCTCTTTTCACAGATGGGGAAAAATTATTATTTGTATTCGTATTTGAGGAGTTAGTCATTGAAACTATTATTGGATAAAAGAGGAATAGCAAAATAATAGTTATTAAGATGGATGAGTATTATATATGAGTCACAAATGTGACACAGGCAGCTTTACAAAATGAATGAATGATTGAACAAATAAATAAAATATAATGTAGCACCCACTATCAATGATAGTATAAGTGTATGCCACATAAAATACTGTATCTATTACCCAATGTATATTCCCAGATGGAGAAATTCATTCCAGATATGGTACTGGCTATCATCTTGGTGGGCTTCATAAAAGGGCTGCACCAATTCATGGAAGTCATGGAGATCAACAAATATTAACCTTAATTGCAATGTAGCTACATTTGTAGACCATATGCAAGAGAGACGAGTGGACTTTCTTGTGTAGTTGATTGGCCACTGCAAAAACAGCCTGCTGGACTAAATGGGCCAGAGTTCTAATCCAACAGGACTTGTGTTCTTATGCTTATGTTCAATATCGTATTATGTTTTTCAGGAGATCAGCACATTGAAAAAATTAAGTTTGTTACAAATTGTAGCAAACCTTCCATGTCTAAGCAATTAAAGCCATTTCTTTAATGGAAAGAGCATTTTCCTTTTTTAGGCCTAGGACAGGGGTCCCCAACCCCGATCCGTGGACCCATACCCGTGCTGCAGCATGCCAGCAACTGGGCCGTACAAAGAAGCAAAGCCCCATTCTCTGGATGCAGGCAGCACACAAAACCATGCCCCTTCCGGTCCACGGAAAAATCTTTCTCCACGTAACCGGTCCCTGGTACCCAAAAGGTTGGGGACCTTTGGGCTAGGGTCTAGTAGGCCTTTCATAATTTTATGAAATGTACACACAAACACATAAATAGGTTGTAGAATAATTTGTAGATGGATTTAAAATTGAAAGTTTTCAGATTTATGCCAGTAGAATATATATACAAGTGTACAGTATTATGTATAGCTTTGAATACAGTTACTTAATTTGTAATATGATTATACCCATAAATACTAGGTTATCCTGACTGACAATTCAGATGGACAGATGTTAGTTTCCCAGATTTATAACTGTTTATGATGTGTAATAACATAAAAAGATGCAATTAATATAAGATAGAAGCAAGTATAAGCATAACAGTTCATCTTTAAGAAACAATGTTGAAAACATTTTTTCTGCTGATAAAATAATTCCTTTCATTATCCAAATTATCTCATCATTCATAGAAAACATATGGACAATAATATCAAATAAAATAGATATCTGTAGTATTTGTATTCAACTCCAGTATTGAAGTCAATGAAAATGTTGATTTCTTTTGAAAGAAATCCATCTCTTTCTTACTCTGCAATAATTTTCATATAGAATCAGACAGGTTATATATATCAGCCTGATTAAATCATGTATATCAAAAACCTTGAAAGAGGTTTTGTCCATTTCAAACTGATTTGTTCTAAAATCAATTTGAAATCAAGGAGAGAAGCAATCTAGAACTAAGGAGAAACTTCCTGACAGTGAGAACAATTAACCAGTGGAACAACCTGCCTCCAGAAGCGGTGAATGCTCCAACACTGGAAGTTTTTAAGAAGAGACTGGACAGCCATTTGTCCGAAATGGTGTAGGGTTTCCTGCCCGAGCAGGGGATTGGACTCGATGACCTCCAAGGTCCCTTCCAACTTTATTATTATTATTATTATTATTATTATTATTATTATTATTATTATTATTATTATTATTATTATTATTATTATTATTATTATTATTATTATTATTATTATTATTATTATTAAAATATTAAAACCTGTGTTCAGAGAAGCATTTTAGAATAGAACAGAATAACACAGTTGGAAGGGACCTTGGAGGTCTTCTAGTCCAACTCCCTACTCAGGCAGGACACCTTATATCATTTCAGACAAATGGTTGTCTCTTCTTAAAAACTTATAGTGTTGGAGCATTCACAACTTCTGGAGGCAAATTGTTTCACTGATTAATTGTTCTAATTGTCAGGAAATTTCTCCTTAATTCTAGGTTGCTTCTCTCCTTGATTAGTTTCCATCCTTTGCTTTTTGTCCTGCCTTCAGGTGCTTTGGAAAATGACCACTTCTTCTTTGTGGCAGCCCCTCAAATATTGGAACACTGCTACTATGTCACCCTTTTTTTCATTAAACTAGATATACCCAATTCCAGAAACCATCTTCATATATTTTAGCCTCCAGTCCCCTAATTATCTAGGTTGCTCTTCTCTGCATTCTTTCTAGAATCTCAGCATCCTTTTACATTGTGGTGACCGAAACTGGATGCAGTATTCCAAGTGTGGTCTTACCAAGGCATTATAAAATAATATTAACACTTTACGTGATCTTGATTCTCTCGCTCTGTTAATGCAGCATAGGACTGTGTTGGCTTTTTGGCAGCTGCAGCACACTGCTGGCTCATATTTAAATGATTGTCCACTAGGACTCCGAGATCCCTCTTACAATTACTACTATTGAGCCAACTACCACCTCTACTATACCTGTGCATTTGTTTTGTTTTTCTTGCCTAAATGTAGAAGCTTATTTTTTCTCCATTGAATTTCATTTTGTTAGATAGTGCCCAGTGTTCAAGTCTGTCAAGATCCTTCTGTATCTTAAGCCTATCTTCTGGAGTGTTGGCTATTCCTGCCAGCTTGGTGTTGTCTGCAAATTTGATGAGTTCCCCATCTACCCTTCATCTGAATTATTAATGAAGATATTGAAGAATACTGTTCCTAAGACAGAGTCTTGGGGTACCTCACTGCATACTTCCCTCCATGTAGATGCAATTCCACTGAGGACTACATGTTGAGATGAAATACAGCCAGGAATTATGCACACATGGACACACACAAATACACTTTTCATTTATACTTATGTAATAATAACTAAAATTAGAAGAAGTAGATGTATATTAAACATTTCAAATTCAGAACATGTTGAGGTTGAAGAACACTATTCTGAATCTGGAACAGTTGGTTCAAGCCCAAATTAGGGTATTTTGTCCAGACTGGATGTGTTTCAAGTTGAAAACAATTATTTGAAGTTTGGAATTGGTGCTTTCACTTGAAATGAGGCTGTTTCTGCCTTGGGATCTTCCAGAATGAGACAGTCCTGTTCCTATCTTGAAGCAGTTGTTTTGAGCTGAAGTCATTTTGAATGTAAAACATTTTTTTAAAAAAATACACTTTTAGTTTTGAAAGTAAAACTAACATCCCAGTTATATTCAAGAGTAAGCAAGGCCCATTTCAAATACAAGGCCTGTAGTGATCTGAGAGTCATTTTACCCCTTTGTTCTCATAATCTTATAGATTTTCTAGAAATTGGAGATGCTGAACCAATTAAGTTTGGGTTTGGTTTCTGTTCAGAAGTAATACTTACTAAGAAAATTTCTGTTTGGCACTCTAGTGCTGAGAGTGTGAATGGTTTCTGTTTTGATGGGATTTTTCATGTTTTTCCCATCATGTCTATATATAAAATCAGTCTATTGTCCCAAGAGAATGACTGGATATAGTTTTCTTTTTTTAAAAAAAAGTCTTATTATAAAAGAATCTGCAACAAAGAAAGAATGAAGGAAGAATGGGTAACATGTAACTCTGCTAGTTAAGGACCTGCATTGACTTCCAAGTATGATTTAAAATGCTATATAACTCAGGTATGGATATCTTTGAATCTGCCTTCTCTAGATTGAGTCTTAACTGTCTGAAAACATCTCA